GTTTCCATTGACTATTTGTTTAAAACCATTGCCCCCATTTCTGTGCAAAAATGAACACAAATGGGAAAATAAGCCTTCAAGAAAAAACACTGAAATTGACTGTAGAGGCAGGGCTCACAAATGCATTAAGTAAACAAACAGCAGAGAGTGGAGAATAAGCTTCTACCCAAATCTCTTAGAATGCCAGCGACCGTAAGCAATACTCCATTGACTATTTGTTTAAAACCATTGCCCCCATTTCTGTGCAAAAATGAACACAAATGGGAAAATAAGCCTTCAAGAAAAAACACTGAAATTGACTGTAGAGGCAGGGCTCACAAATGCATTAAGTAAACAAACAGCAGAGAGTGGAGAATAAGCTTCTACCCAAATCTCTTAGAATGCCAGCGACCGTAAGCAATACCTGAACCAAGAGTGGCACACATACAGCAGTGCGACTCCTCTGTCCACATGTCCCTTTAAGGCTCTTCCACTGCATTCAGACTGGAACTGAATCAGCAAGAATAGCAGCTCAGCAAGGCAGCTTAGTCTGGGGAAGCTTTCTGCAGACATCCCTCCCTTTCTCCCCCCCCCCGCAGTACAGATGCTTGCTGCACTATGTCACCACAACAAGTGTGGGAATGGCAGAAGTGATAAATGACTTTTTTGTTTCAGTTTATACCAAAAAGGTTAGTAGCGACTGGACATTGAACACAACGAACGCCAGTGAAAATGAGGCAGGATCAGAAATCAAAATAAAGAAAGAACAAGTTAAAAATTATGTAGACAAGTTAAATGTCTGCAAGCCACCAGGGCCTGATGAAATGCCTCCCAGAATACTCAAGGAGCTGCCTGAGGAGACATCTGAGCCATTAGCAAGCATCTTTGAAAAGCCACAGAAGAAAACTAGAAAAGGGCACATAACGTGCCCATCTGTAAACTGGAATAAGGACAACACAGGGAATTACAGACCAGTCAACTTTACTGCAGTACCCAGAAAGATAATGGAGCAGGTAATTAAGCGATCCTGTGCAAACACCTAGAAAGTAATAAGGTGATAAGTAACAGCATAGATTTGCTTAAGGGCCAAGTGATGGAGACAGAACTGCTAAAGAGTCGTCATTTTCTGACAGCCTCTACTCCATTTTAACTGCAAAATCTTACAAGCAAGATGAGATTTTGTTATTTTGTTTGCATCTAATTTCCAAGTTCCCTTTAAAAGCAAAGTAGGAATAGTAGAGAGGACAGCAAAATTGCCTCTTTTAGGTGGCTCAACGGCAGTGGCTAGCTTCTGAACATTTCCTTTAAAAAAACATCACGTCCTTCCTGTGCAATGTTAGTGCATAGGGCAGAAGCCAGATTCTTCCATTCCTCTGACATTTGCTGCGGCTTCCATTTCTTCTATGGTGTTCTGATCAGCTCTCTGGCCCTCCCTGCTAAAGGTTCCTCTTAAGGTTTCTTTCCCTCCTTTCATCATAGTAGTTGGTTTCCACTTGACAGCTTTTATGTGTCAGGCTGTGTGTTGGGAGTACTGCAGAAAGGGTTCTGGAGGTCACAGAGCATTACAAGGTAAAATAGGAGTCAACAGTGTAACACCATTGCAAAAAAAGGAAACAGCATTCTGAGATGTATGTTGTAACCAAGACACTAGAAATAATTCTTGTACTCTACTTCATGCTGATTCAGGGGGAATGTTGTGTTCAGTTCTAGGAGCCACGTTTTAGGAAAAATGAAGATAAATTGGAGAAGGAGTAACAAAGAAGAACAAGAGAAGAGCAACAAAAATGCTTAAAGGTCTAGAAAACAAGACTTATTAGGCGAGAATGAAAGAACTTAGTGGCTGTGTCTACACTGGCATGAATTTCCGGAACTGCTTAAAACGGAATACTATTCCGTTTTCAGTTTTTCCGGAAAAGGAGCGTCTTCATTGGCAGGCTGCTTTTCTAGAAAAGCCCTTTTTCTGGAAAAGCGTCTGTGGCCAATGTAGACGTGCTTTTCCGGAAAAGAGCCCCGATCTCCATTTTCGCGATCGGGGCTTTTTTCCGGAAAAAACTACTGGGCTGTCTACACTGGCCCTTTTCCGGAACAGTGTTCCGGAATAAGGACTTATGCCCGAGTGGGAGCAGAATAGTTTTTCCGGAATAGCGGCTGATTTTTTACAGTAGAGCGTC